CTGCAGTTGTGCCTCACGCAAAAGTTCCAGTCTGCACAGCTCTTGCCTGAGCTACTCTCCATAGTCCAGCCTTTGTTTGGGGTTTTTGAGACAGGGTTTCACTATGTAGCCCAGGTCAGCCTCGAACTTGTGATCCTGCCTCAGCCTCCCAAGTGGTGAAATAACAGGTGTGTTCTACCATACCCAGCCACTATCTACCCTTTTGTCCAAAGAGTACATGTGCCACAGTGAGTCACTGGCTTCAGTGGTTTTATTTAATTTTGTCTGAGTAACTTTGGTTATACATGTTCTTTTTCAACCACACAGTTGCATATGGGCTTATTAGTGGGATTTTAGAAAATGTATTGTTCACTTATTCCTCTGCCTCCCAGTAGAGCTGTGGACACATGGATTTGGTTTTTCTGGTGTTTCATTGAGAGTGGTAGTGATGTCTTTTGGCAGCTTAACTCAATGCTGTACTTGTATGTATCTATTATCATTTATTTCCCATTTAGGAATAAATGTTTAATGTCTCCCCCCGCCCCATTTAACTTGTTTTAACTTGTCTTCATAAAGCTCAACTTTATTTTACATACAAAGCTCTGTCCTTAGACTGTAAGTATGATTCTCATTTGAACTTGTTGATGGAATGTTTTCTTTACAGTCTTCATAAAGAACAAATTACTGGACACCAAATGTATGCTAGGTTCTGTGCTCTAGGCATCGGGTTGCAAATTGCACTAAGATATATTAATTCTCATGGAGCTCACAGGGAGCTGAGCTACCTTGTTGTTTGTTTGATTCTTTGTGTGATTTGATTTGGGTTTTCCAATAGGGCAAAGTTCTACTTTTATTGTTATAAAATATAAAGTTCTCTTGCACAGAGGTTTTGGGTTTCCTCTTCTCCATTTTATTTCCACTCTGTTCCTCATATATTATTCCTGTTGTGTTGAAAAGATGGTTAGAAACCCCCACACAATAGTCACTCTCTTTCCAAGTGGTCCCGTGGACCCTTTATCACTGAGCAAGACCAAACTAAATTTCATTTACCCACATACAGCACTGAGCCAGCAACCAGTGCTGGGGGAGGATGCTGTGTACCTGAATCCAGGTAGAGCTGAGTCTCAGCCTTTCTTTTTTCTTCCTTGGTCTTGAGCATCTGAACACCCCATGGTCTTTTAAATTTAGAACAAGAATTTACCTTGTATTCAATTGCAAATGGATTGGCCGTGGAAAACTGGCCATTATCAAACATTTCAGAAAAAGGAGACTTGTGTAGCTGTCAGAAAACTAACATTGTATTAGTTTGCTAGAGCATCTGTAACAAGCTACCACAGCCTGGATGGCTTCAACAACAGAAATCTCTTTTCACACAGCTCTGGTGTTCAGAAACCTGAGGTGAAATGAAGGTGTCAACAGGGTCGGTTCCTTCTGAGGGCTGTGGAAGAAGAATGTGTTCCAGGCCACTGTCCTTGGTTTAGAAATGTCTTGTGTCTTTACTATCTTTCTTCTGTAGATATCTGTGTCCAAATTTCCTCTTTCAATAACGACCCCAGTCTTATTGGATTAGAACACACATTAATGACCTCACTTTAACTTCACTGCCTCTAGAAAGACCCTATCTCCATACATTCTGAAGACCTTAACATTTGAACTTTGGAGGGAGACAGAATTCAACTTATCAAAATAAAATGCTTCCAGACTTTCAGGAATGTGCTAGGTACTTCCATACACACTAATCTATTTGACCTTCACAAAATTGCCATATTAGAAACATAGTGTGATTTCATTTCATAGCTGAGAAAAACTGGCACTAAGACCCATGACCCATTGTGCACAAAGCTAAAAAGCAGCAGAGTCAGAATTTGAGTCCCAATCTGCATGATCCACTCTAGCAGGCTGGTTCTATGTATTTTTTCTCCCAATTATTTTCTTTTTGTAAATGTAATATTTTGAATCAAAATGGAATCCAGCAAAGTTTCACTCCCATCCTTTTAGCTAGAAAACTTATTTTTGTAAGTATGCTTGGCTTCCGATTCAGTAGCTAATGTTTCTACTCCTGGGTTCCTACACAACTTGTCTGGATCCTTCGTCATTCTTTAACGGATTTCACAACTTTGCCAAGTGCTGCTCACAGATCCAGACAGGTGTTAACATCTGCTCTATCACATTCAAATAGTAATCAGATTGTCTGGTGAAGAGGAGGATTTGGACTTCTTTGACCTGCTTCCTTATTTGGGTATCTTTGGGATTGCTCAGAGGGCAAATGCCTTTAAGTGGGAGATTGCATCATAAGTGCAGTATCTTTTCTTCTTTGGTTTTGAGCCAAAGGATGGAGAAAAAAAAAAAGGCGAGAATATCTGTGGGTAGACAGGGTACAACCTAATGCGAAACTTGCTAAGGCCGTGGGAGGAGATTAATGACCAAGATGTCTCTATCTCCCCAAGGGTTGTTGAAACCATCTGGTGGCAAATATAATCAGGAGAACACCAGACTAAAGACAAATACAGTGCTTTTTCATTACCAACCTGCTATGTATAGTAAATGAAACCAGTAAGTAAAATTGGAAAATGCTTAGCCACATCCACAGTGTGTGGTTGACTTAAATATTTAAAAATACGTGCTCTTTACCAAGAAATGAAAAGTGACACTTTTCTTAGTAACATAGTACATATAATCTGATATCCAAAGAGGAGAATTTTCATTCTGGCTATACTACTGACCACCCAAATGTCTCAGGCAAATTTCATTACTCTTATGGAGCATCAGTTTCTTCATTTGTCAAACCAGCATGGGAGTTGTTGTGAAGGTCAAGTGAGATTGTGTGGGAGAGCTTTGAAAACTATGGAGTGCTATACCTGTGTTAGTTATTTTTTTCATTATTTTTAGCTCAAATGTATCAGAACCTTGCAATTAGGCTGAACTGTCCAATTTGATTCTCCAATTTATGAGATATTCAACTCCTCTCTTTCCTTTCCTCTTTGTATTTCTTGTACTCTTTTTGGTCCTTAAAAATGTCTTAGAACCATAGTGAAATAGAGCAATTTTTTGATATTTATAGACCCTCAGTGGAAAGTTGAAAATAGCCAAGTTAATGAAGATCCTGTATATACCAAAAAAGTGGCTGTCACATTTTAAAGGAGTTAAGCCCGTCCAAGGAAATTACTTGTCATCCTAGTTTCAAAACACTCCTGGCAGACTCCCAACAGATACTGACACTTTTAATTTTTCCTAAGAGCTATTAAAATGGTAGAAGTTTTGGAGCTGTACTTCCATATCACCTTGATGTGTCAAGTGATTGAACAGAACACGTGATAAGAATCTTTCCTCAAAGATGAAGCACCATGCATGGAAAATCCTGAGTTGGCAACTCATAAAGTGATTGCAAATCAAGTCTCTGAGTCCTCATTGTCCAAGCAACTGTAAGAAGTTCTCTTGGAATAGGATGTTCTCTTTGTAATTGCAAATAAAGATGGTCCCTGTCTTGTTGTTTCTTCAGTAGGTAATATGTTACATCTTAGTTCACTAGAAATGATCACTGCTTATTCTGTGCCAGAAAGAGATAGTTGAGGTGTTTCTTCTTTCTGGGACAAAGACAGTGAGAACCAGGAGCAGGATGGGACTCCTCCAGGTGTGTACAACATAGAAGCAAAGCGTTCAGCAGTGGCTAAGCTACTGGGTGATTATCTTCACAGACCATGGTTTGACACTTGCTTCAGCAAGTCTGGCTTTTACGGCTTTTCAATTTTCTAGGCTAGCTAGAGGAATATGGCTAGTTTGGGAGAGAAATGATCCGTGAGATAGCAGGGTGCCACATTCCCATTTACTATGACTCTGGCAGCTGGAGGCCATCCACCGCCAGTACTCTCCAAGGAAATCAGTTAATTTCAGTTATACATCAGGATTATAACTAAAATTTGGCGTCTGATTAACCAGAGTGAACTAATTTGGGATGCCTGCCTCTCCTTCCTGTGCAATCCTTTTTATGATTGCATGCATATGATGAGGTCGATGCCAGCGAATCTATTATTCTGACAAATGTTAATCAGAGATAGGATTCTGATTTTAAATTCAAATTCACTGCACTATTAAGTTTTCTAACATTGTGGGCTTTTGATGGCCTCATTTGCATGATTTTTAAAATATGCATTTCAGCTACAATTTTATTATCTGAATGTTCTTTTATTTAGTATAAGTTTTTGAGGAGGGTTTTTTTTTTAATTTGCAGCAAAGATATACTGTGGTTGAATTACATATGACCTATATCAATTACTTGTCATCTGGCTAGCAGAGCATAAAAGTTAGGACCACAGGAATCAAAATGCCTGGGTTCAAATCATACCTCCTCCATGCCACTTACGTAGACTATATATAAAATAACTGTAGAGAAGCTATGCAATCCCATAGCTTTTTTCTCATCTTTTAGTGGGGATAACAATCGCATTTTCCCAGTGGGGTTTTGAGAAGTTTCCATTAGATCATCACATGAATCAGCTACCTCTGCTAGGTTATGCTGCCATCACAATGGCTATAAAATAGGAATGGCTTCCAACTAGAGATTCTGCTTATATTGGCGTCCACCGTGGGGTGCCTCTGCTTCTGCTCCACAATCTCTTTATTCTGGGACAAACTGAAGAGCATCTCCCACCAGTGTCATCATAGAGGGAAAAGGGGACGGCAGAACCCCAAGACCACTTTTATAGGCTCTTTGTGAAAACAGAACATGCCACTTGCATTCTTATCTCATTGGCCAAGGTGAATCAGGTGACCAAGCATGGAATCAGGTGAGTAGGTAGAACAATCCACTGTGCCATGCACATGGATGGGAACATACCAAACGCTCAGTAGTCATTAGTTGTTACTTTTAAATCTTGTTCACAGAAGTAAATTACAACTTAGAATTCTGCTAAGTGATGGGTATTATCTGCTGAGAGGGCAGATAAGACTAATGCCTGTGTGCATGTCAGATAGTTCTCTTAAGAGCAAGTTAAGGTGCTGAGTGTTTCCTTTGAACTTTCCAGGGAAGGTGGTCTACGGCGAACCCATAGCGGCAGGCCTTGGCACTGATGGCACTCACTACTGGAATAAGGAATGGCACCACGCCGCCCACCATGTCATGGGTCCACCACTGCGACCAGACCCTTCAACACCTGACTTTCTCATGAATCTATTGGCTAAGTAATCATTTTGCAAATGATCACAAAGTGTTTTGCCAAAAGAAGGTGCTTTACAAGTCTCAGGTTTGGGTGGAAGGGAGCTTACCCTACCGGTGGAGTTGCCGTGGACCTCCCTGAATTCATTCTAACTGACCTAACAGTTCTGGGCACTTTCTTACCTGGGGAGAAAAAAGAAAAGACTTTAGCTTAATTATGTTTTGATAATTATATTGTTCTCCTGGACACAGAGCTATCTGATTATTTTATGGAAAGTTTAATTCTCTTCTGATATTTTTCCATCTCTTGTTACCCAAAATGCTGTGCATACCAGGTGAGTATTCTACCTCTCAGCTACACCTCCTCCATCCCTATGCCTTATTTTTATCAGAATATTCTTCAATTTTTTTCTATGCTTGTTGATGGACTCTAAGAACCAGGATAGGCAACTGTCACTTTCTAGGAGAAAGAATTCGTGAGAATTACACCACTCACAGACATTCGCAGGTACTCAGGCTCCTGCTTTACACAGAGCTTTACACAACAGACTGGACAAGAACTCCTTTTCCTTTGTCTTCCTATTTCCCTCTTCCTTCATGCTTCTACATCTCCAAGATTATTTGCATGTCATATCAGGATTGCTGTCCATGGTGATATTGCCAGTCAGTTTCACATCTGCACTCATCACTTTGTGGCCATTTGGCCTGGGTTGTCCTGGAAGACCTGCCTCCATTCCCATAGGCCACTCTGGTGGTATCTCTCTATAGTATTCTGCTTACAAGGAATTTCCACTTACATTTGTTCTTAGTGATCCTGGCTTTCTCATTAGCAAGTCTGTACAATCACCAACTTCTAGAAGAGACAAGCTTACAATTACAGAGCTAGTAAGTGGTAGAGCTGAGCCTAGAACTCTGGATATTAATCCATAATCCCCTATCATGCTTCTTGTGTGTGCTCTGAAAGGGCTGTTTAGAAAAAAGACAGGAGAGGGGTGAAATACACACTTGAAAATGCTACACATTCTCCATTGCGTTTCTCTGACTTTCCATGGGGAGGGGGTCAGAAGATTAGGAAGTATTAGTATTATAGTGTTTTCGTCCTACGTCATCTACCCCACCCATCATGGTCATGGTTTTTTCTCTTTTTTCTTTTACAGTGATGATCTAACCACAACAGGGACTGACCACTGCACTTTCAACACCTGCCAGAAAGCTCTTGGGAAAGATGACTTTACTAAGATTCCCAATGGGGTAAATGGTGTTGAGGACCGCATGTCAGTGATCTGGGAAAAAGGAGTGGTAAGTTTCATGGGGTCCAGCCTGGCTTTGTCCAGCACAACCAAACAAATAATTGTCTTCTCTGTAGTGCACGGCTCAGAGGTGCATTGCACTATTTTGCAAAGACATTCAGAGATGGTTTTAGATTGGGTACAAAGAAGGTTATTCTTGAAGTCTTTGAATTTTATAGCCCCTCTTCATTTCTCATGTTCTTAAACCCCAGTGCTTCATGTGTGAATAGTTGAAATGATGGAAAATGCATGAAGGATGTTTATTACATTCATACTTTCTTTTCATGAAATCTTTGTAAATGACTTAAAAAGAATCTTTGAATATCATATTTTAAAATTGCTATACAAAGTCACATAAATAATAACTCAAAACTGTAGGAAAAAGATCTTTTTAAATTCCCACAAATAAAAAAGTTTTCCCTGAGGATGGAGAAAGTCAAATGGCTAAATGTTCATGTGTTGACATGTGTAGTTGTAAAGATAACAGAGGACACTGGGTAGAACTGAGGCCCACATGGTCCTGCCTTTCACACCCATGTCCCTGGACCCCTCTCTTACATAACACATTAGTTTTATTTCATACTTCAGAATCCTCTTTGATTATTTTCTCCTACATGTACTACCTACTTCTAATTCTAATTACCCATCAAGACCTGTCAATTTTATTTCCAAAATGCTTCCTTCATTCCACATTCATGGCTGCCATCTGGTTGGAGGTTCACATTTTGCTTGGCCCACTGCATAGTCTCACAACTGATATTCCTGTCCTCAGTGTCTCACCTGCTACAATCTATTCCCTAGTCTAGTAGCAGAGTTACCACTCAAAAATGAAATTCTGTTCAGACTCCTTTCCTCTCAAAATCCTTTAATTTTCTCTGCTAATGAACAATTTGAACAATTAATTTACTATAAGGATCTTCAAAATACTCTTCTAGCTTTAGTTTCTGCTGTCATCCTTGGCACTTCCTCTTCCTCTACCCCAACTCTAACCATCTCAGATGACTCCCCTTCTCTTCCTCTTTGCTCAGATTTTCCTGGTTATAGTCTAAACTCCTTTCTTGAACTTGTGCTATTATAGTAAGTATCTTCTTTACAGCAGATTTTCGTAATCTACTATACACAGCTTTAAAGTAATTGAATATTTCCTAATACTATGCATGAAATGATGTTATTTTCTGAAACATTAAGATAGTTTCTTTGGGACTTCTATTTTCAGGATGTAGTTCTTATTCCTTTTTGAGGTAGGAATAATTAACTAAACCTTAAGGCCTCTCTTATCATGTAAATATATGAAGGAATTAACCCTGAATACTTTTTCCGTATTAAAATGTCTTGCACTAGATTGCCTATGATTGTTGCTTCATGTAAATTTCAATTGTCTAAAACTGGACCTCTTAAGTTGATTATTCATCTTTCGAAAGGCCTCATGTCACCTGATTTAAGAAGCATCACTACCTTGCTTAAACTCTATATTTTACCTTATATGATCATCTCATAAATGTTCAGTCCACAATAAATAAACCAGATCAAAAATGTAGTAGGTGGCAGTGGAAAACTTTTAATAGGAATTGAAAATAGAATTGCCAGCATTTAGGTGTCATCTTTAGCAATCTTTTGAAGGGGGCACTGTTTCTCACACTCCCTCCCTTGCTGGAGCAAAGTTTTCTCTCTCACTCCTTTGTTTTTACTGGACCTAACTGAGCTTAACTGGAGGCGACTGGAGATTTTAGAAAAGACACAGGATAGACAGACAGACAGACAAAGTTGGGGTCAGGTGTGTCATATGCTCGGCTGGAGATGCATAACCCTCACTGCTTCTTTTCTCTATCTTGATTCTTTAAGGCCTTTCTCCTTGCAGTTCTTTAAAACCTTGCTTCTAACCTCTTTCCTTAGGCTCCACTGTCCCATGTTTGCTCTCAGCTTATCTTTAACTTAATTGCTCTTAAAGTCTTTTGTCCCCAGGCTTGCACTGTCCCATCTTTCCTTAGCTCTCTCAAAGCTTATGTGCTCAAACTTGCAGCCACACCTAAAAACTGCATGTGCATAACTCTTAAGGTCTCGGTCCTTAGACTTGCACTATTCACTGTCCCATGTTCTCGTTGGCATTTCTTTAGCTTTAGCTTTCCTAAGGCCTCTGTATGAAGTTCTTTCTCAGCTTTGCTTTCTGAAGCCGATGTGAAAGTTCTAGGTGCAGATTTTCTATAAACCCCTCCTTAGCATTTTCCCTTCAGCAATTTTTCCCTTCAATAATTCTTTTCCCTCCCAAAAGCTTCCCACACCGAAGGCCCAAAGTAAAAGCTTCTTCCTAATATTCAAAGGCAAAAAGCCCCCCAAAGCAAAAAGCCAAGCAAAAAGTCCAAAAAGCCCAAAGTAAAGCCCCAAAAGGCAAAAGCCCCTCTTCCTCCTTCAGGGGTTTTTATAGCAGCAAATAGGGTAGAGCCACAGGGAGGGTGTGACATTGTAACAGGAGAAACCTGCGAACCTGCTTCTCTGAACACAATTTAGGAGACTCAGCTCTTCTGCTTTTCCCTGTTTCGTGGCCGGGGGCTGTGCCTATCTCAGCCTACAGGTGAAAGCAATTAACTGCATCTCGCCTTGCTTGTGTCCAGTTCTCATAGGCTTTAATCTGCTCCCCACAATCTTTTCTTTCTTTCTTTTTTGGCAGCACTGGGGTTTGAACTCAGGGCCTCACACTTGCTAGGCAGGTGCTCTACCACTTGAGCCACTCCACCAACCCTTGTAGCAATTTTTTATGACACTTGGAGAGATGGAAAAAAACAAGTAGGGTTGTTTTTTTAAGCTGATAGATTTTTAAAAAGTCAGACTTCCATATATCACCACCATCTTCATCATTATCACTAGGATTGTCTAATACCAGCGTCCAAAGAAGTGCAGCTCCTCAATCTAAGAGATGAGGTGCAGTTCTGTTTGGTTTAAGAGATGCAGGGTTGTGTTAAAGTCTCTGATTACTAAAATAAATGCACTTTCTTCTTTGAACTGTTTTACAGCATAGTGGTAAAATGGATGAAAACCGATTTGTGGCAGTCACCAGCACAAATGCAGCCAAAATCTTTAATCTTTATCCAAGAAAAGGAAGAATAGCTGTAGGATCAGATGCTGACATTGTGATTTGGGACCCAAAAGCCACAAGGTAAGTCTGAGTCCTTGTATCCCTTGGCTTCACCACAGAGGAAAAGCACAAACTTGCAAAGAAATTTTGCTTTGGTCTCAATCAGCCTTTTCTTATGAGGTGACTTATTTAGCCATGCTCAGGAATTTCAAGCCTGATCAAGATTTTGATATACAAATATTTCTTTGTTTTTCTTGGCATAGAGGATGTAAAAGTTGTGTCACGTTCTCTACAAAGGGATGTGTATAGAAAACCAATATGAATTTACCACTTCAGTGCCTGGCAAACGCCTGAGTTCACATGGAAGGTACAGAGCAATGAAGCAAATGAGAGGCTTAATTTGAAAAGGGCTGAATTGAAAACTCAAAATAATTGCAGCCTTTTTAAAGCTTTCAGATAGAAAAATTCCAGCACACACAAAAAAGTCACTTTAAGTTAGCCAAATTTTCCAGTTGAGTTCATCTGGAGCCTGTCATCCCCAGAAGACTTGAGCTTTTTGTTTCCAATTTCCGTAATTCTATGCTAATATTGCAGGTCTGGCAAATTCCACCAGCTCAGGAAGGCATTCAGTGGCAGCTGAAGTTCTACTCATTTCTTCTTACAGGATGTTCGAACAGACAGCACCTGCATGCTGATTTGTGTTTCTCATAAACACTGCAAGGGAGTGGAGGAAATTCTATTTGCATTTACATTTTGCTCGTGCACATGCATGTGTAAATGAATGCAACAGGCCCTTCTGCCTTCATGAACAGGCTTTTGTTCAAAGTCTATTAGGGTTTTTGTTTTCTTGTACTATGCAAAAGCATATCATTTCTTTGAGGTGATACTGTCACAAAGACCCAGCTTCAACCAAAGTGCTCGTGGCCACCCTGTGACAGAAAGATGACCATTTGGAGCACTAAGCTCCATGGCAGTGAGCCTAGGAACAAGTCTCAGATGGTCTCTGATAAAACACTTGTCTTTCTGTGCTTGACATTATCCTCTGGGCACTCATTGTCCCTAACTAGGGCCCAGTTCACGTGATTGGCAGGCCATAGTAATGGCAAGTAGCCTTTCACTAAACGCTCCAATGTATCATCTCATCGCTGGCTGACAATCCGTGCAATAGAGCGACAATGGTATGAGCACCTACATAAAGATCCTAAGATACTAAGTAGGCACAGCTCAGAGTCTTTGGTATTATGATCTCAAGGAACTACTGGCCATTTAAGGACTCTTTTACCTGATAAAACCGAATGTGGGTAGCATCTCTACTAGGCTAGAAAAATTGTGCTTGGGAAGGACAGATGGAAGAAAGATTGTTTTCTGTAGCCGTTATTTTAAGCACCCCTCTGCAGAGGGCTGTGTACACCCAGTAGACCCATCTTTGCTGTAATTCAGATATTGAGTTTTCAAAGGCTGGAACCAGATAGAGCTTTTGAAACATCTTGTGACCTTGTGGAATCATGACAGGCTTGTTTGTTCTGAGTTTGAAGCTCAAGGCCTCCTGCCTGCTAGGCAGTGCTCTACCTCTTGAGGCATGTCCCCAACCCTTTTTTCTTTAGTTACTTTTCAGATAAGTTCTCATGTTTTTACCCTGAGGCTATGGTCTTCCTACCTATGCCCCCCACGAAAGGGGGCCACAGGAGTACACTACTACCCCCAGCTTATTAGCTAATGTGGAATCTTGCTAATGTTTTGCCTGGCTGGACTTGACCCTTGATCTTCCCAATCTCTGCCTCCCAAGTAGCTGGAATGACAGGCGTGCACCATCACACCTGACTGATCATGAGGTTTAATCAGAAAAATGTAGAAAATTTCTACATTTCATAGATAGAACTATCGTGTGGAAGAAATATTTGTGAAAAATGATGATTTTGAAGCACGACATAGAGTTGGGTCATAACAATGATAAGAAGATAACAATTTGTGCTTCCACAGTTCTCAGTGGATTTAAAAGATCCTTTGGTAACTAAAATGTGTTTTCCCAGGTAAGACAAATATGACCACTTTTACGATGATGAGAAAAATAAAGGTATACAACAGTGTGAGTGACAGGTTTGACCCCATGGCTCTGATTGTATATGTTTGTGTGCTTTGCATGAAACTCAGTAGCACACTGTATTCTGAGCACTCCATTCTGTTCTTCACTGTTCTTGTTCCAGTTTTCATCCAGTCAGGTGGGCAGTAACTAAATCTTTCTTGGATTTGATTTCAGTCCATGTTATTCCTCATCAAAGGTAGATGGGGGTGAAAATATTTTGTAGAGCAATATGACTGTCCAGTTTAATTCCAAATACCATGGAGAACGTCAGGAAGCCATTCATGTGGTTCTTCTTTTTAACAGTCCACCTGGGAATCTCCAGTGGGATGCACCCTCGAGAGTTCTCTAATTTCTGAGGATGATGCCAGCTCAGGTGTACAGCATTGTCTTCCTCAGACAACTGGACAAAGAGAAATGACCGGAACATAAGGCTGTGAATAATTCACTGGCTTTATTTACCACATATTGCTGCTTGGAGGACATCCATAGGCTGTGATTATGTCTCCTTGAGTCATGTTTTAGGTGATACAAATTTAGAACATTTTCTCACAAATTCCAGCTACTGATTTCTGTGACATTGTTTCGTCCTTCCTTTCCTATTCAGTTGTTTCAGAATAGTACATAATGATCCAGATGTGCAGTTTTGCTTTCAAAGATCTATATATTACCTGCTTAATTTCCCTCATTTCTAGTCTAAGAATAACTAACTTAAGGTCAAATTAGGAAGCTTCTATGCTTTTAAGTTGCTTTCTATCTCTTTCATTACTTCTTTGGTATTTCTTGAAGAGCTGTTCTCCATTTTATATAATAATAATGAAGAAAAAATTTTCACACATGTGTCTTTTGTGGTAAAGATATTCATATATATGTATGTATGTATGTATATACACACACATATATACTGCTAATATATCATATATTTGTATTTATACATTTATATGGTATTTAATTATTAGTTGAAAGTCTTCTTTGGTACTCTAAGTCTACTACAGTACTGCTAAATATTCTTTCAATACTTTCAGTCTGGGTCTGCTTATCATGGGCACCGTGGTACTAGGGATAAGGAAAGCCAGTACAGGCCCAAGAGCCTGATTTGTGGGTTGTGGCCTGAGATCCATCAGAGGTCATTTGAAGTCTCTGAAGGGCTGAGGGTTATAGCTCAGTGGTACACAGCTCACCTCACATGCAGAAGCCCAAGGTTTGATCCCTGGCACTGGAAAAAAAATGAAGTCTCTACATATCTACTCCCTCATTTGTAAAATGAAATTAATTATAATTGTTATGCTGCCTACCTCACAATGTTTTTGTTGGAATCCCATGAGATAAAACATGTGAACATGCCTTATAAACCAAGAGAGTGTTACACAAGCACTGGGAATGTGTTGTTATGGCTATTTTATGTTTTTCTGGTAAGACCAATGTTATGCTTTGCAGAACACTTTTATTTTTAGATATTCTCAGCTAATTTGTCTGTGGTGACCAAGCAGACAGATAAACCACAGGGTTCTATTTCTTGGACTCTTGGATCCTTTTTTTTTTTTTTATTCATATGTGCATACAAAGTTTGGGTCATTTCTCCCCCTTTCCTCCACCCCCTCCCTTTTCTTGGATCCTTTTTTAAAAACTGGAGATGTCCTCATTTTTCCTTTCATATTTTACTTTCCTTCTGAAAAATAGAGAAATGCTATCAATATTATATTGAACCAATCTAGCCTTTGACTTGACTCATTAAAATCTGTAAGAATTTTCTCTGGGCCACCATCAGAATATTTCTTTCTCATTATCTACCTTTTTTCCATGTGAAAATTGTACATTGTGGGAGAGAAGGGTTTATTGAAGGGAGGCTTCATAGATTGATGACTCTGGAAGACTATATAGAAAGGGGAAAGTGTGTTTACCATGGTTCACATTTAAAGGAAGAGACTTCTTATCTGGGTAGATCACAGCACCTGCTTCCTTTGTTCTTGGCCTGTTCATTATGAGAAATTTGCTCATCTGGCTGAATGTTCCCAACCAAAATTTGTTCTGGTGACCTCAACTGGAACCTTTGTGATGCACCACAATATTTTTAGCTGGCTTTAGCTGCCTGTACATCATACAATGCTTTTCACTGTCCTTAGACACTAGCCTACCACCACCTCCCCACCCTGCATACTGACTTCTAGTGACTCCCACAACCCACTCATGATACCGTATTGCAGTCTCTCCCATTCACATTCTTAAGGCCTAGTTCCATTTAAAAAAAAAGTTTCATTTTAGAATAGCTTCAGATCTTCAGAAAAGTTGCAACTCCAGAGTTATTTTCACTTTTGTTATCTTACATGAGTATAGTACATTTGTCACAATTAATGACCCAATATTGATATGATATTGATATTGATATGTTATTATTAGCTAGAGTCTAGAGTTTTTTTGCTTAATTTTTATCTAATGTATTTTCTATTTCAGGATTTCATCCAGGATCCCATATTACATTTGTGACGATTACTCTGACCTTATTTTTGATGAGTTTGTTGGTGTAAAGGAATACTGGTTAGGAATTTTTCAGGATAGCTCTCTTGTGATTTTTTTCTGAAGTTTTTCTCATTGCTAGCCACAGGTATGGGGGAGAAGACTGCAGAAGTTAAGTTACCATTTTTGTCATGACACATGAAGGGTGCATGCTATGAATATGATACCATTGTTGGAGTTGACCTGAGTCACCTGACTAAGGTAACAATTGCCAGGTTTCTTCACAGTACAGTTACCTCCCACCCACTTCTATATTGTACTTTCTGGAAGGAAGTCTCTGGGGATAGACCATACTTAAGGAGTGGGACGTTGTTCTCTAGTTTTAAGTTTTAGTTGGTTTTATAGCACTTGTCCAGAGTAGAAATACAATGAATGTTGTGAGACAGATGCAGCCCTTCCATGCTGCGTGGAAGAGTGTGTGACTAAGCATTGACTTCAAGGAAGTTGGAAAGATTGTATTTAGTGACAGCCTGAGCAAGGAGTAAAG